GTCGCGCAGATGGCACCACGCGGATTGCGCCGCATATTTTGCACCACCTAAATTGCTCCACGAATGCGGCAAACCACATATACTGGACCACATGGATTGCGCCGAACCTCGATTGCACACCGTTGGTTGCACAACAAAGACTGTACAACATATACCTATACGACCGCCCTGCGAACGATAAGAAGGTTGGGGGGGGATTGAGACAAGATCGATTGGATTGGACAAGATGGATTGGGAAAAATGGTTTGGATCAGGTAAGCTGGGTTGGATAAGAAAGCCCGCCGCAGGCGCCGACAAAAATGAATTGATGGATTGGGTTGGGTGGATTGAATTGGATGGGATAATATGGATTGGGTAATAAGATGGATTGGATTGGCCCGCCGCAGGCGCAGAAACAAATGGATTCATGGATTGGGTTGGGTGGATTGGATTGGGTGGGATAAGATAAAGATGGGACAGTATGGGTTGGATAAGATTCGATGGATTGGGTTGGACAAAGTGGATTGGATAAGTAAGCTGGATTGGATAAAAAAACCCACCGCAGGCGCCGAAAAAAATGAATTATGAAATTAGCGACATGCGTTAGCGCCGGGACACCCTGGACACCCGGGACACCGCCCGGCCCAACTGGGACACCTCCCAGCCACCGGCGGACGGGAACGGACTTTCGCTCCGAATTCGGCCTACCTACAGGAGGATCACGAGCAGCTCCGCCCCGCCCGCACGCACGACACGAACGCGAAACCGAAACCGATTTTCCGGCGGGGGGGTTCCGTTTCACTGCGGTATCACCCCCCAACCTCCGATATTTATACATACATATACATAAACATGCATATATATATATACATATATATACATGTGTGTACACACGCGTACATACATACATACATACATACATACATACATACATACAGACTGCACCATTCATGTCTCGCACCACAATGATCACACACAACATAGTTTACACCATCAATGTTGCACCACTTACGTTGCACACCCTTTGTGATCTCTTCCCCGAAAATACATAAGACCCACTGCCCCCCGAAGTGGGATTATCGCCCCCCCCCCCCCTGGACACGTGCAGTGCGCATGCGAGTCTGCCCGATTCTTCACGCTGGATTTGAACCTGTACCACCCCAGCCAGGCTTAGTCCGACCCCCCCATCCTCTGCACGAGAAACACTACGCGCGCGCACTCGCCCATCAAACGCACGCGCGCGCGTCGTCGCGCGCGCGCGACGGAATCCTACAAAACCTTGGTTTTCGTAAAGATATCAAAAGACGAGCGCCCAAAAAACAGATGCGAGGACTCCGACGGAAGGACCTCGCGCGGGCATCTGTTCGGCTTGCCCTTAGCCCTTCCCTCCTCGCCCTGGCGGACGCCCTCCCCCCGCCCTCTGGTCTGCCCTTTCCCTCCTCCTCCTCCCCCTCCTCCACCTCCTCCTCCTTTTATTTCTCCTCCTCCTTCTTCACCTCCTCCTCATCATCGCCCTTTCTCTACCCCCATCCCCGCCCTCATCCTCCCCACTTCCCCCTGGTCGGGGTGAGCAAATCGATTTTCCTCGGCGCCGTCGCCGCCTCGGTCAGCGCGCGCGCGTTCGCCGACGGCTGGCTCGCGAAGCCTGCGGCCACGCCTGTGGGCCAGCCCCGCGGGCCGCTGGGGCGTGGGGGCAAGCCGTCGGGACAGTCCCGCGGGCCAGACCGTTGGGGCAACCCCGCGGGCCTCTACCTGCGCGCCGCGACGCTCAGGCGGGAAGCGGCACGAAGCCAACCTCCGCGGCGACCTGTTCGGCCTCATCCCCGGAGGTCTTAACTTTCTCTCATTTCGGGAGAGCCTTCCGCAGGGGCGCCGGCGGCACACGCTCCAGGATGTCTCGCGGGGGCGGCCGCAAGACCAGCATGTTCCGCATGCACGTGGCGCGGGAGAACATGACGTGAGGTGCAGCCACCACTGCTCGGGTGACGTGCCCGCGCGTCCATCCATGACACGAATTCGCATGACCGCGTTCGGACTACCAACGCGAAGCGCGTGCCCCATAAGGAAGGGGTCCCCGCCTGAGACTTCCTCACAATTCACTCACAAACAAGGCTCCCGCCTGATAGTTCCTCCAAATTCAGGCCTGAGGAGACCAAAAGTGACGACAGTTACAAGGTTGAGGATGACCCGCTCGGATTACCAACAGCAAGTGCGGGACCCACAGGGAGGGGGCTCCCGCCTGAGACGTCCTCACAATTTACTCACGAAAGAGGCTGCCGCCTGATACTTCCTCCACTGTCCAGCCGCAGGAGCCCAAGAGTGATGACAGTTACCCGGTTGAGGATGACCCGCTCAGATTACCAACATGAAATGCGGGACCTAGGGAAGGGGCTCCCGCCTGAGAAGTCCTCTCAACTCAATCACAAACGACTGATACTTCTTCCATATTGAAGCATCAGAAGCCCAAAAGTGACGACAGTTACAAGGTTGAGGACGACTGGTCCAGATTACCAACAAAAAATGCGGGACCCTTGGCGGGGGCTCCCGCCTGAGACTTCCTCACAATTCACTCACGAAAAAGGCTGCCGCCTGATAGTTCCTCCATTTTCAAGCCGCAGGAACCCAAAAATGACGACAGTTAAAGGTTGAGGATGACCCGCTCGGAATACCAACGTGAAATGCGGGACCCTTACGGAGGGGGCTCCCGCCTGAGAATTCTTCACAATTCACTCACAGACGAAGATTATGCTTGATACCTCCTCCATATTCAAGCTAGGGCGTGAGTAGTGACGCAGTGATGAGTGACTGAGTGATGATGATGATGGTGAATGAGTGGATGATGATGAATGACTGCGTGAGTGAGTGGGTGAGTGATCGAGTGATGCTGATGGTGATCATGATGCTGGGTGTGAGTGTGTGAGTGAATGAATGTGGGTGTGCGTGAGTGAGTGTGAGTGATGGGATGATGATGAGGAGGAGGAAGAGGAGGAAGAGAGGGGGGAGGAGAGATCCTGCGCGGGGGGGCGCAGAGAAAACAACAACCCCACTTTGGACGTGGGGAACAAAATCCAGTGCCCTGAAAACATATACCATCACATGGTTTTGTTCCAACAAATCTGCGCGCGTTTTTGCGACTTGATCCAGAAAACCAGATGTTGAACATGTCCATCAAGAACGACCAAACGGGCCTCGCGCGTGAGTGCATGTCGAAATTTGTCGAACGCCCTTGCGCGCTCGGGCGGCACGATCTCTGCCCAATATCAAAATGCGGGCCACTCGTGCCCGTCGGCCGCGCGCGCGTGGCGATCCTTTCATCGCCGACACGTGGAGACCATCATCGTCGTGGGCGTGATCAGCATTGGCGCCCTACCATTCAGCATCGCTACTATCATCATCGTGTCTGCCAGTGTCGAAGTCGCCATGATACCGTGCCCGCCCGAGCCACCGACTCGCGATGAACTGCCGGCGCGTCAGCGCGCGAGACGCGGTGGGAAGTGCCCGGCGGTCAGCGACACCGCGGCCGCGTCGGTCGCGCCAGACTAGCTGGCCGCTCTGCGCGCGAGCCTGCGCGCGCTAGCGCGGCCGCAGCGAGGCGCCAGCCAGCGCCAAGCAGTCATCGCAATCGCTGCCGCAGGGGTTTTGAAGCCAAATTGCGGGTAGGTGGGTGAGATGATTGCGCGAGCAGTGGAATTGACAACTTCAAGTTCGACAGGGTAGATTGCACCAGGTAGATTGTTCCACATAGATTACTCCACAACAACTTACCGTATACATTCCGCAGCAAAGGTTGTACTATGTAGATTGCACCACATGAAGTTGTCCACTTAGACTGCACAACACATGTTACTATAATTACGCTGTCAGGGGTCCATGCTGACCAACCTTTCGTAATCATCTGAATCCTAGTCATCCTCATCCTCTTCCCCCTCCTCATCATCCTCATAATTATCACCACCGTCATGCTCATCAACAGCATCACTACCATATCATCATCACCATCATCAGCGCCATCGTCATCACCATCACCATCACCACCAACACTACCACCCCCACCATCAGCAGCAGCGTAGTCATCATCATCAGCAGCAGAGCAGCACCAGCAGCAGCATCAGCACCACCAACATCATCATCACCAGCGTCATCATCAGCAGCATATGCCTCGTCGTTAAAGTCCGAAGAACCATCATCACAATCACTCACATCATCATATCATCACCATCATCGTCATCATCACAACCACCACCACCATCAGCATCATCATCACCAACATCATCATCACACCAACCGTAGTCGTTGTCATCGTCAGGGTCATCATCACAATGGCCATGAGCATCGTCGTCATCTCCGATATCAATAATCCCCACCATCCATCCATAACACCATCTCATCACGATGGCAGACATCATCACCATCACCAGCACCATCACCATCAGCTTCATCATAATCATCATCATCATCATCACAATCATGATAATCAGCGTCATCGGCATCGTCATCAGCATCACCACCATCAACAGCATCACCATCATCATCATCAGCATCATCATCATCATCGTCATCATTCTTATCGTCATCATCATTATCATCATCATCGCCATCGTCGTGATCATCATCGTCGTCGTCGTGTCGTCGTCGTCGTCATCGTCATCACAATCACCATCACCATCACCATCACCATCACCATCATCACCACCGTCATCATCAGTAGTATCATCAGTATCATCATCAACATCATCATCATCCTTCCCTGGCCTGAACTGGCGCGCAACCATCCAGCCGAGCCTCGGCCTGGGCTCGTGCCCACACGATGCCTCGCCAGGTCCCACTCTTCCTCCTCGTCCTCCTTCTACTCCTCCTCCTCCTCGTCACCATCACCACCACCACCATCAGCAGCACCAGCAGCAGCATCACCATCATCATGATCAAACCAACGACAACTTCCTCCTCCTCCTCCTCCTCCTCCTCTTCCTCCTCCTCCTTCACAACCTCCTCCTCCTCCTCCTCCTCCTGTTCCTCGGGTCCTCGGTGCTCAGGCCCTGCGCCTTGGCGAAACTCTCCACCTCGCTGCGCTCGACCTGTGGGCCGGACGCGGCGAAGGGCGGGCGAGGAGGCGCGAGGAGGAGCGAGAAGATAAGCAAAGCGAGGAGCGGGAAGGCTGGGGGTGCGGAGCGAGCAGCGAGGCACGAGCAGCGAGGAGCCAGCAGCGGGGGGGGGACCCAGGAAGAGGCATAGAAACAGGCACACATCCCAAGATCTGCCGCATGTTTCCACATGTCCCGGGTCTTCCCCTCCCCTTCCCATATTTCCCCGTATGTTCCTGGGAATCGACATGTGTTTGTGCCTGTGCCTATCCTTCCCTCCTGGACGAGGGAAGGGCGAGGAGCGAGGGATGGAGCAGCGAGGAGCGAGAGGCCGAAACGGGCGGGGGGAGGCATCCGAGGACTCGGCGACTGGACCTCGCTGCTCCCGCGAGCCACACCCCAGCGGCGCACGGCGCCGTTCCCGCTGGCCACACCCTTGTCGGCGCGCACGAGGGGGTTGGGGGATGCTGCCTCTCAGAAGGCGCTTCTCAGAAGGAGACTGCTTCTTAGAAGGAGGCTGCTTCTTAGGAGGCTGCTGCTTCTTAGAAAGAGGCCTCTCAGAAGGAAGCCGTTTCTTAGCAGGCGCGGGGCGGGCCTTGCACGTACAGACGAGGCCCGCGCCTTCCAACAAGCAGCCTCCTTCTAAAAATCGGGGGGGGGGGGGGGGGCTTCTCAGAAGGAGGCCTCTCCCCAGAAGGCGCGGGCCCGACGTCTACAGACGAGGCCCGCGCCTTCCAAAAAGCAGCCTCCCTCCAAGAAGCCGTCCCCCCCCCGCCGACCCCCTCTGCGCGACGCTGCACACCGCGGCGGCCCTGCTCCGCCCCGCGTCGGGGCTCGGCGCGCCCACCTCGGGCCGCGCGGGCCCCCCTCGTCCTGCCTTCCTGTCGCTATTCCTCCTCCTCCTCCTACTCGTCCTCCTCATACTGCTCCTCCTCCTCCTCGTCCTCCGACTACGCCTTCTCTTCTCGCATCTCGTCACCTCATCGTCATCGTCGCCATCATCATCATCATCATCATCATCATCATCATCATCATCATCATCATCATCATCAGCAGCAGCAGCAGCAGCAGCAGCATCATCATCAGCAGCAGCAGCATCATCATCATCATCATCATCATCATCATCATCATCATCAGCATCATCATCATCACCATCATCATCAGCATCAGCATCAGCATCATCATCATCATCATCATCATCCTACGCCTCCTCCTCCTCCCCCTCCTCCTCTTCCTCCACCTCATGATGACCGTCGTCGTCGGCACAGCATCGTCATCGTCAGCGTCATCATCATCGTCATCATCATCATCATCGGCATCATCATCATCATCAGCAGCATCATCATCAGCATCATAATCATCATCAGCAACATCAACATCATCACCATCGTTATCGTCATCGCCGTCATAATCGGCATCAGCATCCGCGTCAGCACCAGCACCAGCACCAGCATCATCAGCATCAGCATTAGCACATCATCGTCGTCAACATCATCAGCATAATCAGCATCAGCAACATCATCATCATAATCATAATCGTCATAATCATCAGCAACGTCATCCCCGTCATAATTAGCATCCACATCATCATCATCATCATCATCATCATCATCATCAGCATCATCGTCATCATCACCATCATCACAATCAGAATCGTCATCCCCGTCATAATCAGCATCCGCATCATCATCATCATCATTAGCATCATCACCACCACCATCAGCATCATCATCAGCAGCATCACGATCAGCAGCATCATCATCATAATCAGCATCAGCATCATCATCATCATCATCATCAACATCGTATTCATTAGCATCATCATGTACATCATAATCAGCATCAGCATCACCACCATCATCATACGTATCATCGTTATCAGCATCCTAATCATCAGAATAATCACCACCACCATCAGCATCATCAGCATCATCAGCATCAGCATCATTAGCATCATCATCTGCACCATCATCGTCATCATCATCAGCGTCATCAGCATCATCAGCATCAGCATCAGCATCAGCATCAGCATCATCAGCACCATCATCAGCAGCATCATTGTCAACAGCATCAACATCATCATCATCAGCATCATCATCATCATCATCATCATCATCATCATCATCATCATCATCATCATCATCATCATCATCATATCATCATCATCATCATCATCATCATCATCATCATCATCATCATCATCATCATCATTCGGTTCCTCCTCATGCTACTTCCCTTGCTTCTCCTCCTCCTCATCATCATCCTCCGTCTCCTCCCCCTCCACTTTCTCCACCTCATCCTGATGATCGTCGTCGTCGGCATAGGCATCGACATCGTCATCATCAGCAGCATCATCAGCAGCATCATCATCATCATCAGCATCATCATCATCATCAGTGTCACCAATAGCATCATCCTAATCATCAGAATCATCACCACCACCATCAGCATCATCATCATCGTCGTCATCGTCATCGTCATCGCTGTCATGATCAGCATCAGCATCCACATCAGCACCAGCATCATCACCACCATCACCACCAGCATCATCATCATCATCATCATCATCATCATCACCAGCATCAGCATCATCAGCATCAACAGCATCATCAGAATAGCCATAATCATCACCAGCATCATCGGCATCGTCGTCGCCGTCATAATCAGCATCAGCACCATTATCAGCACCAGCATGACCACCATCATCATCACCACAGCTGTCAGCATCAACAGCATCAGCACCACTATCATCAACATCAGCATCAGCATAATCAAGATCATCAGAATCATCATCAATAGCATCATCAGCATCATCGTCATCATCATCGCCGTCGTCGTCATCGTCATCGTCATCGTCCTCCTCCTCCTCATCCTGTCCCTTCGGTTCAACCTCCCACTACTCCTTCTCCTGCCCCTTCAGTTCCAGCTCCCCCTCCTCCTGCTACTCCCCCATGTTACTATTCCTCCCCCATGCTCTCCTACGCCTCCTCATCCTCCTCCTCCTCCTCCACTCAAGCGACGGGGACCCAGGGCGCGCGGGGTTTTGGCCCAAACGTGTCATGGCGCCCCGCCCAGCACCTCCACGCGGTGCTTGAGGAGCCCCACTGCCTGCAGACTGGCGTGCCGTTTTCGCGGAAGGTGGGTGGCTAAGAATGGGCAGTCACAGCATGTGCTCCAGTTTGGTGGCCCACTCATGAGCGATTGATCGGGTCGAGGCCTCCATGAGTCATCAGCTGGCTCCTCGTCCCCTTCATCCCCTTTCCCCTTCATCCCCTTTTCCGTGTCGTGTGCGTTCATCAAGCTTTTTCTTCTGCCCATCTACATGCTCCCCGAGTTTGGCTGAGCCTGGCCAGCGCAAGGCACCCCTATTGGCTGAGCCTGGCCTGCGCAAGGCAGACGTCAGGGACTTTGTGGTGGCGCCGAATGTGTTTTTTACTGTATCAGCTTAGGCGGGTACGGATTGCATGCAGATTGTGTGATTTGAAGTTGCTCGATTTGCTATGGTAATGGGCGAGGTTGGTAGTGCGCGCGATCTTCTCACTCGAGGATGCCCGATGATCAAGAGGTGGAGTCTTCTTCTATTCTTGTTTCACAAGTCTGTTCCCTGGGCACAAGAGCGGCAAGCTAGACAGCTCAGGCAGACAAACATGTCTGGAATGAGCATGCGATGCGACATCCAGTCGCGCTGCACATCGGGCTTACCATTTTCGAGCACTGCTCAGAGGGTTTTAGGGTGTAGACTTCCTCTGAGCAGTCAGACCCTTGGCTGTTTGACTCCAAGGGGCACAAAACGCACGCAAGCAGAACACGATCTGGATGTGCGTCCAGCAAGTGTGTTAGCGTGGGCCAATCCTCAGCACTGGGGCGGCTTGCGAAGTATCGAGCTCCAATCAGGCACGCTTCCCTACACATCTGAGATGCAGATAAGGAACTGCAAGCAATGCGACAAACTTGTGTTGTTCAGAAAAAGCGGGAGATCGCTATCACCCCGTACGTCGAGTCTCTCGAGCGAGACACAAAAACATCATCGTTGAGAAAAGTATCACCCATCTGAGCGATACGGCAACGCGCGCGCGTACTGAAAATTTTGCGCGGATCCGCGCGTGCCAAAAACTGTCGGACGGAAGGAAGGGTGGCCGCGCGAGGCGCAGACCAAATCGGCGAGCACGAGCGGGCCCGCCTGGCGAGCGAGGGGGCACCGGGCGCTGCGCGTCTCGGGCCCCTGTTCTCGGAGCCCAAGGCTGTGCACCTGGCGTGTGTGGCTGCGGACGGGAGGACTGCACCAATGCAGGTCGAAACGAGTGCAGGGGTTGCGCTGGACTTATGCTGTTCCCGACATAACTAAGGACCACACCCCAGAAATAATTTCGAGCACCCAGAAGAGTGTCAAAAGAGTGTCGAAACAGTGTCGAAACAGTGTCGGGCGAGTGTCTCCCAGGGCCCGACACGTGAAAACCCTTGAGCTTTGGTACGTTTTTGGGGCCGCTCGAAATTCGTCCTGGTGGTCAACGCCAAAGTAGGTTGGTGCATCATAGCGCTGGATGCGGCTGAACGCCAGATGGCAGCAGGAAAGCTCGGCCCCAAGATAAAAGCCAATGGTGCTCCACTGGAGCTGCAGACGGTCAGAGTGCGCACACTTGACGTTTTCATGGCTCGCCCTGGACGCGGTCAGACGCTGGCGAAGCAGCTCGGCACTCCGCCAACTCACCCCTGTCGCGGCTCCCGGCGGCTCCCGACCGGGTGGTACGACCGGCCACGCGACCTCAGAGCAGACCCGAGCGCTGCTGAGGGCGACCCTGGCGGCGGGGCAGGCGGCGCCACGGGCCCGCGCACCCCGCGGCGCAGCTCCCTGGAGACGGCGCCCGCCCAGCTCCTGGTCCTGGGGCTGCCAGCGGCGCCTCCGCCCTCGGCGCCTGGCGCTGCCGGCGCCCCGACCGCCGCTGGCCCGAGGCCGTCGCGCTCGGCGAGGCACGGGCGCCGCTGCCTCACGCCCGCC